GCTGAGTAAGAAAAACAACAGGGATGAGAGCCAAGAAGCTCTTAGAGAAAGGGAAGTCCTACTGCTGCGTTTGCCCTTCGTGCGCCGCAGCCAGGTCCCAGGGAAGAGGGGTCAGAAGAGCTGAGTCGCACGGCCAGGGTGGTCCGGCAGCTCTGTGTTGCTGGAGCCACGCTCTGACTGACGGTGATGCCGGGAGCAAGGCTGTAGCGTGCAATCCAATGGAAGGGATGGCAGAAACACCATCTCAAATGAAAGGGAAGGAAGGTAAGAGCTAGGGTTTGAGCAGCCCTGGTGATGGGATGGTGGGAGCTCTCCAGACCCCCACATTGGTCTGAAAGAGCTGTAATGAGCATGCCTACTCGCCAAGCTATATGCTGTTTCTCTGCTGCCATCCCTGCCTGCCAGGGTGACGCTGGTCCACAGGCGCTCAAAGTGATTTCTCTCTCCCATGAAGAAACTTTGTGTCCTGCACTCCAGACCCTGGTGTCTGCAGCTCATGGCAAGTGGCACGTGCCTGCATGGCCTTAAAGCCCACGGGGTCCTGTGAGACAAGAGCTGCTTGTCTTTCCACATAAAGACCCCATTATTACCAGGCAGGGTGTAAAGAGGAGGAAGAAGTCTGATTACACAAAGACAAAGGGCTAAACGCTCATTTGCAGTATTTGGAAATGGAGTTGCAAAAAGACAAACAAATAAACCCCAGTGCCTAAGCTGCTTGACAGCGTGAGCTTTATTCCCAGCAGCTCCCTGAGGTCTCTTCAGAACTCTCGGTTAGTGCTACCAAGAGCTCTGCCTTCTGCAGGAGCATCGCAGAACTAGTCAATGGGATGTGGCTCAGCATGCGCCTGGGGCTGTAACAGCCAGGACATGCCTCTGGGGATCCTGAACGAGCACCACACAGTCAGCAAGCAGGAGAAAGGAGAAGGAATTTAGGAAGATGCTCTCAATGGCAAGCCTGCTGTTTGCCTTGCTAGACCACCGTGAGTGGTCTACATAGTGCTCGCAGTAGGAGGAAGGCTCTAGGGCAAATAAAGTGTGTGCAGTTAATAGTCCTGATGATGTGAAATCTGCAAAGTTTTGCTCTTATTTTAAAAAATGTGATGAACAGCAGAAGTCAACCAGATAGGAAGAGATATGCTAAGTGGAAGATTATGACTCAAGTGTTAAGTAAGGCTAGAGGGAAGAGATGATACACCCCAGCGCAGAAGTCAGGACGGGTGGATTAGTCTGCCAGGCAAGCAGTGCCCTATTACACAAAGTGAGGAAGCGGATTTTGGGGGGGACAAATAAGGGAAACGAGCTGAAGTGAGAAAGGAGAGCTCAGAGAGGCCCAGGGAGCGTGATCTCTGACAGTAGAACCTGGAGTTAGATGTTCTCCAGGGAAAGCTTCTAGAGTTACCTGAGGTGCTGAAACACTCAGAAAAGTCTCATTGTGAAGTATTACCTAAAATTACATTTTCTTGTTGCATGCTCTGTGTTCCAAACATTGTAGTCTATTGTTTAACCATTATCTCAAGCAACAAAGCTAAACTTATTCTTTATGTTTAAACCTTGTCCTGCAATAACGGTAGTGTTGACATGAATTGGACATTGCACTCTGCTGCGCACCAGGCTCTGTCTGTCTCAGTGGTGGGAGATGGACACCTCCAGGGCCATTCTGACCCAATCCTAGGGCCTGTCCTCCAGGACAGGGTGGCAATGAACCCCTCCTGGGGCACCACCTTTCTCTGGGGTCTGCTAGACAGGCTAGATGATGAGTGCAGATCAGGCACCTGAAGGTTTGCGGCATATAGGGGTGTGTGCATGCTGTCCCACTGCAAAGGCTGTCCTTAGGCAGGTGACACTGAACTGTGCTGGGTGAAACCTATGCACTTTCTGATGATGGAGGTTAGGATAAGGTGAGGGTAGGAGAGCCCTGCCTGAAACGCAGCAGCACGGGCTTTGCACACCCTTCACTGCTGAGTTATTGCTCCTGAGCTCTTGCACCACCCTGCACAGTGCAATGGCTCAGAGTAGCCACAGAGTGTATCGGTGTCACGCTGGGCTGGCAAGTCCAGGAGACTGGACCAGGACTGCTACTGCTGATGTAAGGATGGGCTCTGCAGTGATAGAGCATTGCTCCGATGGCTGGGGCCTGCTGTGCGGGAGGCTAGAAATGGTGTCTTGTGAACGCACAGGTGCAAGAGGGAATTTCTCCAGACACAACCAACAGTTGAGCTTGATGAGGTGTTAATTAGACCATTCATGCAGCCTGAGCTGTTGGAGAGCAGGCCACGTTAGCTACCTACCGTGTCTGCGGGTACAGGAATCCCAGAACTGCTCAGAATTTTCTTGGGGAAAAAATTGTGAGATTCTAAGGAATTAACATAGATTTTAACAGCCGATCAGGAATCAGACACAAAGGTTAACGCATGACTGAATTACACATTCAGTGCTGGAAGAGAAGAAATGTGAGGGAAAGGTATTAGGAAGAAGAGATGCTAACACGTGTTAAAGCTCAGGACATTTGGTACAAAACCTAGGCCAGCATATCTCGGCAGATTTGGCTAGGGGCTCTCATGACCTTGTTCCTCGGCTGGTGTAGCCTAGTTTTTGCCACTGGACGCTCACAAGCATTGAGGTGTTACCTCCACCACGGCAGGAGCTGCAGTGCCAGGAGGATAAAGGCTGGCAGGCACTTGTGTCCACGCTAGGCTGGCTGTTGTTGATGCTCTGTGGCCACTTTGGGTCCTGAGCCTGTGAAGTCACCAGAGAAGTGAAAATCTTTCTTGTCTGGAGCTACAGCCTTTTCCCACCTCCTCATCCCCCAGCTCTCAGAGCCACCAGACCTGCTGCCTCCTTGGCTTTCTGTCTGCCCTCCTTCCAGCCCCCTTGGCCCCTTCTTGCTGCTGCTGTCACCATTGCACATCCACCCTCTGGTCACAGAGCCACAGCACCTCCGGCCAGGTGGCAGCAGCAGGCGAGGAAGCTCCCACATGTCAATCCTCACCTCACAAGGCACAAAAGTTTCTCATCCTTTATGATTTTACTGACTCCTCCTCCTGGTTTGTAGTACTTGTGGAGAGTTAACCACCCATCTGGGTCACTTTGGCTCTTTTTGGTGATGATGTCATTCTACAGTGCTCTGAAAGGAGCCCATAAAGGTGAGGAAGCACGTTTTTTCAGTGGTGATGAAGCCCTTCCTGCCTGCCAGCTGTGGACATGGCAGGGTCGGGAGGGGACTTGGAGACGATGTCTTGACTATCTGTGGGCAGCCCAGGTAGGGGTCAGGTTAAAACCTGTCCCAGTCCTCAGTCCTGCTCCCTGTATCCACAAATCAACCCCAAGGCCAGGTTCTTGTGTTGGTGCTTATGTGGTAGAGAGAGGTGTTAGCTTATAGCTCATGAAATGGCACAGGCTGTACACTTGGGGTCCAACACAACCGGAAGCCAAAGCAAAATCAAGGTGCTAAAAATGGGAGAGTCTTCAGTAGCATTTTTATGATGACTGCCCGTGCCTTGTGTTCATGCCATTATGAGGGTGAAGAGGGCTGTGGCTGCCCGAGCAGGTCAGCACACATCAGTCGGTCCAGGCATTGCTTTTTATCTGCAACTTGTTCTGGAGTAGCAGCCAAAGACAGTGTATGGATAGAGCTTGTTTGTTTGAATTCAAGTAGGGAGGAGAAACAAGGAGAGCCTGGAGTAGGCAGTATGCGATGGCATTGTAGAAGTCATTGTCACAGGGTATTGCGGAGGCCAGAAGTGTGTGTTCAGAAAGGGACTGGACAAATCAATGGTGGGAAAAAGCATCAGTGGTAATGCAACATCATGGTCCAAATGCAACCTCCAGAGTCCCAAGGCTGGGTGGGGCAGTCTGGGACATAAAGCCCTCTTCGATAGAAG